CCACGAATATCAGGCAAACTGCAACAAATGAGAGTATAAAGTTTGATGAATACGAGATGGCGAAGAGAACATACATTTATCTGCTATCGCATCAACAAACGCTTTCCCACTGGTCTTTTTTGGTTTTGTTACTTCAACGTTCTTGTGTCCGCTTATCAAACTCTTGTCTCCACGCTGCTCATCTTTTCCTCGCCACGCGTCTATTGCTTGGATTTCCTGCCCACGACATCGTTCCACAGACGCCAGTTGCCACGGAACTCGTCCGACTTACGGTATTCCTGGGACCCACGAGGCTCAGGCAGTGAAAGCTTCGTCATGGCAGCCTTCATCGCAGAGAACAGATAGGACTGGGAGCCGGAGCGCTCCTTTGCTGCTGTGGTGCAAACGTTTACGATTTGGATTGACTCATCTACATGTAGCTGCTGCAGCATGAGCAGCGTACATACATGTACGTAGTATGAACTTTTTTTTTCTTCGAAATTTCTGAAAACCTACGCGGGCGATGACGAGAAACATAGAAAAAACAAAGTGTGGCCTTACTGTATTGCAGACCCGCTTTCATAACCGCTGCCATCCTCCATGTCCACGGTCTGTGTGCGTGCGTGTGTGTATGTGTGTGTGTGTGTGTGTGTGTGTATGTGTGTGTATGTGTTTGTGTGTGTGTGTATGTGTGTGTATGGTTGTGTGGTGCATGTTCTCTCCCTCTGCAGCCGCTGGAAAATGATAAGTACCGTATACCAAAGTCTCGCTATAGTCCCGTCAGTTGTTATCTCGCGTCAGAAAAGTACAACGATCAGGAGATCGTGCAGAACCAAGAGGTGTATGATACGTTACGTACGGCAGGTATGCTATGGATAACCCTGGGAGAGAGTGAGAGAGAGAGAGAGAGAGAGAGAGAGTATGTGTGTGTGTGTGTGTGTGTGTGTGTGTGTGTGTGTGTGTGTGTGTGTGTGTGTGCGTGCATGTGTGTGTGTGCATGTGTGGTCTGTGCATGTGTGGTCTGTGCGTGTGCATGGGTGTGCATGTGTGCGTTCACATGGTGGTGCTGGTGGGGGGATGGGGTGTACATGTATATGTGTACATGTGCGTATCTTGCTCCTGGAAGACAAGCAAGCTGATGTATCCTGGCGTTTCTTGTGAAGCCCGGGGGAAAGTTTTCCTTTTTCCTTTTCTTTTTTTAAAACTATTAATTGATCCCACAGTGGCCTGGCCTGGAGCTTGTACATGATTTTGCATCTAGTTTGTGGCATCGAGGGAAGCATGGATGCAGTGAATGGGATTTTCGGTCTTTGACCACTTTGTGGTGGGTTTGATCTACTCACCTCCCACCGTTTAGGCGCTGCATCTGCGCCTTTGATCCTAGAGGGTGGTGGTGTTCCTGCGGGTGCAGAAAACTCGGCCTCCAGCCAAGTTTCACGCAAATCGTGATATTTTGTTTGTGGCATTGTCTTGTGTTTCCCTGATCCAATGCAGGTATTGATCATCTCCTAGCCACTCACATTGCACATTTGTTTATCCGCGACCCGCTCACGCTCTTCAGCGAACAGATCGACCAAAGCACCACGACCGAGTCCAACCACTTTGAGGTTAGAACTTGAGCTATGGCGCCGGCGTGTGCGTGTGTGTGTGGGGGGGGGGGGGGGGGGTCTAGGGCCTACGGGTAAATGGCTGTATGCTTGTAAAGACTGGTCTTTGTAGAGAGGTGGTCTTTGTAGAGAGGTGGTCCTTGTAGAGAGGTGGTCTCGAACACATAGGTTGTAGAGATGTCTGTGTGGTTACATGATGTCATAATAACCATATTAATATTATACACTTGCTATTGTACATGCTGTGGTATCCATTGCAGAATATACAGTCGACTAACTGGCAGTCTATGCGCTTCAAGCCACCGCCCGCCAGTTCCCACGCCAAGATCGGATGGCGCGTGGAGTTCCGACCTGCTGATGTAAGCTGCTGCTGCTGATGGCGATGCTGATGGTGCTGTTGTTGATGGGGCTGATGCTATTGCCGGTGCTGATGCTGTGTTGGTGGTGTTGCTGCTATACTGCTATTGCTGCTGCTGCTAATAATAATACTGCTGCTGCTAATAATAATACTGCTGCTGATGCTAATACTGCTGCTGGTAATGCTGCTGGTGCGGCTGCTGATGCTTCTGCTGATACTGCTTCTGCTGCTGCTGCTGCTGCTGCTAATACTGCTGCTGCTATTGCTGATGCTATTGCTGATGCTAATGCTGATGCGGCTGATGCTGGTTTGTGTGATGCGAGTGGTATGGTCTTCAGTTGGTTTCACTAGATGCCAGAGTTTCTTACGGGTTCTCTTGTTCGTTTGTGCACGTATGTTGTGTGTGTGCAGCTTCAGCTGACGCCGTTTGAGAATGCGGCACTTGTAATGTTTGTAGTCATACTGACGCGTACTGTTCTCTCTCTCAACCTCAACTTCTACATTCCAATCTCCAAGGTGAGCAGAGTATTGTGATGTGTGTGTGTGTGTGCACATGAGTGTGTGTGTGTGTGTGTGTGTGTGTGTGTGTGTGTAGGTGTGCATTGGTGGTCGATTCACATGGCTTCGCCAGTTGTGTGGATTAGACAGTTATCTGGCGCAAGTCTTGATCTGTCTCATTCAGATCTTGTTCGCTATCGTTGCTATAAGAGAAAATCTGTGGGTGCACATCCAGTGCATTTGCAGATTTGCGTGCTTCTCTTGCGACGGGCGTATACATGGTACATGGTGTGTGTGTGCGCGTGTGATGGGCGTGTGTACATGCGTGTGTGAGCGCTTGCATGTATAGTGCACTGTGTGGCATATGGGATGATACATGGTGTGTGGGGGGAGCCGACTGTTGTTCTTTCATTTCGTTACTGGTCATGGAAAATCTTGGGAATGGGTGCTTGCATGCCTTGGTTACAAGATGTATGTACATGTTCGTGTTGTTGGTTGTTGGTTGTTTAAAAAATGGGATTGACTGCTAGGAAAAGCCACTTCTTTTAGGCTTTCAAGTGCCACTCAGTTTACCTGTCTTGCAAGTTGTTCTCTTTGCCTTCGATGATTGGTGATTGTGTGTGGGTGTGGGTGTGTGTGTCCGTGTGTGTTCATGTGTCCGTGTGTATTCGTGTGTCCGTGTGTGTATGTGTGTTCATGCGTCCAGATGGAAGAAAACATGAGAAGAGCGCAGGAGAGGAACGCTGTGCTTGACCAGAAATTCTACTTCCGCAAGAATGTCTACACAGGTACATGTAATGCTATTATAGAAATTCCAGCACTTACACTTGATTCTATCTTGCCCCCCCCCCCCCCCCCCTCCCCCACCATGTGTGTGTGTGTGTGGTGCCAGCTAGTTCGGTTGGTGGGTACACTTATGCCAGATAGTGTTGGACCTGTTGCCAACGGGCTCAGCTGCTTGAAGGTGTATTGTTGTACCTACCACCTTTGTTGGTTTCAGGGTTCATATACTTTCCATTTGAAGTATACAACCATGGACTACTTCTGGCTAGATAAACTCTTGTGTAATCAATGGTGCTAGTGAAGCTTTTATCAGATCCATTCTGATTTAGCCACCCACACTAGTAGCAAGTATTACCTTCACTGGGGGCAGGGGTACCTGCAGTTGGATCCCGGGACGGATACCCTGATGCCGTCAATCCTTTTTCTGCACCTTGTCCTCACCCACTTACTGAGGTGTGATGAGCCCATAAGTGGGATCATTTCAAGTCCACCCTAGTTTGGGGATTTCAGGGGGTGTCGGCCGTTGGGTGGTTCAATGGCCAATTGAGTCATCTTTCCAAGATTCCTTTTGAGTCTCTCTCCCCTCTCCCGGGGAGACCCACGTGACCAGTTTTGGCAGTGAGCAAGTACAAGTGTGTGTGTGTGTGTGTGTGTGTGTGTGTGTGTGTGTGTGTGTGTGTGTGTGTGTGTGTGTGTGTGTGTGTGTGCATACATGTGTGTGGGTGGGTGGATGTGTGTGGGTGTTTGTGTGTGTGCGTGTGTGACGTGTGTGCGGGAAAAAAATAAAAAGACCAAAAAGTAGGGATTCACTGGCCAGAAAAAGCCACTTCATAGCTGTGGTGTGTAGACCAGGCTGAATAGTGGCGGTCAATTCTTCAGCCTTGCAAGCTGTTGAATGGTGCAATCCCAGCACAAGTTGCTATGGCTTCTGCTGTAGCATCGCTATCATCGCCTCCGGCGATGGGCGTCCAATGGTGTGTGTGCGTGTGTGTAGGTGGGGGTGGGGGTGTCTCTCTCTCTCTCTCACTCTATCTCTCTCTCTCTCTCTCTCTCTCTCTCTCTCTCTCTCTCTCTCTCTCTCTCTCTCTCTCTCTCTCTCTCTCTCTCTCGCCTGTCCTTTCTTTGTCACATGTATTATCGAAGCGATGCTTCAACCAGCGTTGAACTCCTTCACGGCCCGGTGTGGATGCCAGCTGTGTTGTTTGAGATTGAGCCGTTCACCAATACACATCGGTGCTTCCATTTTCTGATTTCCTTGTTCTCTGTCCTTTGCCTGTGTGTGTGGTGCGCGTGTGGTCCGTGTGTGTGTGTGTGTGTGTATTTCCGTCTTCTTCCGTTCTCTACAGCGGATGGGCAGACAGCAGCCATGGCGGCGGATTCTGCAACACCGTCCGATGATGATTACGAGGAGATGAGTATCGACACGATCGTGAATGGCAAGGTGAGTGCACGGGGATATTTGAACTATTTCCCGTCAGGTTTCACGCGCTGTTTTCTCGTGTCCGTGATTATGTCGTGTTTGTCTTTGTTGGCGGACTTGCTTCCTTGGTGTTGTTTCTACTGTTTATTCTCACGATGGTTTGAATTCTTTATTCTCACGATGGCACCATCGCCAACAAGAGATTGAGTGGTTGTGGTTGTTGTTGTTGTTGTTGTCATTGACAGTGTTGTTGTTGTTGTTGTCATCATTGTTGCTGCTGTTGCTGTTGTCATTGTTGTCATTGTCATTGTTTTTATTGACATTGTTGTTGCTGTTGTCGTCATCGTTGTCGTCATCGTTGTTGGTGCCGCTGCTGATGTTATTTTCCTGCTGTCGTTTCTGTCGTTGTTGCTGTCCAGGATGGAGTGTTCCCGGGACTTCTCCCGCTAATGGACAGTTACCTGCGTGACATCGGCATGGACGTCGCCTCCAGGTGCACCGTCAGCCGATCGTTTGAGCTGATCAGAAAACGTGCGACAGGTATGATGATGTAGCTCTGTGCCTTTTCAGCACTGTACTCGCTGCAAGGTGGATCTGAGTCAATAGTGCTAACGGAAGGGTGCATGCATGGATATGGGCTTGCATGTGGTCATGCACCCGTACATTAGTTGAGGTATGCATCAACTAAACCCAGCAAGTGGCACTGATATTATTTATTTTCCAGTCAGACCTCGCTTATCCGGTCCTCTTTTATCCTTTCGGGGAACGGATACAATAATTTACTTTTTTTTTTTTTTATCCGGATCCCTCGCCATCCGGAACAAAATAGCTGGTTACAGATGTACAGCATATGTGATGCATCCAACATAACCGGTGTTCGGTTATCCAGTTCCCTCGCCTATCCGGATATTTTTGTGGACAACGGATGTGCACGGTTAAGCGAGGTCTGGCTGTGTAAGCACTCCCGCGTTGGAAGTGTAGCAGCAGTATGCTGCGTCCACAGCTTTCCTATGTTCGGTCCTCCGTAGTAGGACTTTTTGAAACATTTTTTCGCAGCTCCCGGATTTATCCATGGCAAAGTTCAAGCCATGCGAAATACAAGGTCCGTGGCACGTGCAAAACTGCCGTACTTGAGTACACGCAAATGGAGAATGTGGTTGTAGGTTCACCGTGCACACAGTGAGTGCATGCTGTCTCCAAAGCAATACCGTAAGTCTACAAATTGTAGGCCCATTCATATTTCGCCCTCCCAGGGCTAAAACCCATTTCGGCCGCATCGAATTTTCGGCCTGTACTGCTGCTGCCTGTATACACTGTCACACTGAACATTGCAAAACGAATTTTCGGCTGCTACAAACTTTCGGCCAAATATGATCAGGCCGAAAATAGCCGAAAATAAATATGCGCCCAATATTTGTTGCCCTACAGTAAGGCATGCTTAGCAGTCGTGGAGAAATCACGTAGAGCGAAACCCAACAGCGCGGATTCATGTTTGAAAATTATGTGCAGCTCCTACATTATTTTCATACGTGATTACGTGCAGCGAAACCTCCCTATTCTCCAGCTTGGGACAGGAAATCAAGAGAAAAGCATGATCCCCGTCCTTAACCACTACAGTACAGTTTCATTTCCGCAGACATGCTTTTCTCCACGAGTCGAGTCTCTACTAGTCGTCTGACGAAGAGAGTGCCGTGCTTGGAAAGATTGTTTCTAGTTTTGTCACTCTCTGCTGCCCGTCATCAAGAGTACTCTTCTTTCTGTTTTGTGGTGTGATGTTCAGGAGAGCTGAAAACCGTTGCGAAGTGGATGCGCGACTTCGTTGCCGCACATCCACATTACAAGCAGGATTCGGTGATCAACGAGCGCGTCAATTACGATCTCCTGATGGCCTGCGACCGCATCAGCAGCGGGACAGAGCACTGCCATGAACTAGAGGGAGATCCTTGATGTGTGTGTGTGTGTGTGTGTGTGTGTGTGTGTGTGTGTGTGCGCGCGCGCGCGTGCATGTGCGTGTGCGTCTTTGTGTGTACGAATTCTAGGCTAGGAGCTCTTTTCTTTTCTTTTTTTTTCTCCAATTCTTATGATGCAGTCAGCAGTGCATCATGTCCAACTGAAGTACACTAGACCGGTAGTGTTAGTCGCTGCTCTGGTCATGCCCACATCAGTCCTGTGTTACCATCAACGGGTATCCCACAGGCAGTGGCCGCTTGGGCCCGTGAACACCCTAGATATGCTGGATTGCTCGTTCTCTTTCCGCCGTACCCGCTGCTTATTTTCCCGGCTCAAAGGCCGCGCTGCGCTCGCACACACTGGTCCGTTTCCTAGGTACACTGCTTCTGCTGCTACAGGCGAGCTGGGCCAGGGCGGTCACTCTGGGTTTAGCGCGTGTTTCAACGCTCCCATCCGCTGTCACAACTCTCCACCCCATGGCCATGGGGCAGAGTGATTTTTAGTGACTTTTTAGGTCGTTTTCGTGCAGTGTGTGTGTGTGTGTGTGTGTGTGTGTGTGTGTGTTCTTAGAACTTTTTACCTCGAAAAGTGGCACAAATATATATGTAGATATTCACTCTGTGTCCTCTGCGTTTGCCTGTAGATATGAGGCAATCACATCCCTGCCGTTTGTCTTCCCTGTCCTCAGTTTATAGCATGACCAGCGACAACCAAACTTGCACCGACCTTATTTTAAAGTAGTTTGTGTAGTCCATCGTCCACTCTGCCGTTTTGTTTTGTGTTTGCATCATTGCTGTGGTATAGATTCGCTGCTGTACTCCTGTCCCTCTTTGTCATACCATCCACCCTTGTGAACTCATGTCATTATATTGGCGCTTAATTGCGTTTCTCGATCCCCGTCGCAGTCCACGCCGATTTCTATTTGCCGCCCTCGGCCTTGCACCATTGTCTCGCATTCGCCGGTAAATTGCCCTGGGGTCTTCTGAGAAGGTCCCCCCCCATTGCCCGTATCATGGTAGATTTCATCTGGATCCTCACCCACCCGACCCATTCGTTGCTGTTCTCTTGACCCCTAGGCCCTGTGGACCAGTGCCGTCTGCCGGTGTCCTGTGTTTCCACGTGCGCTGCTGCTGGACAGGCTGCCGATCGCCGGCATCTGCTTGCCTGCCCGCCGTCTCGGTAGCATTGTCGTCATCAACCCGTTGTAAAACTATAATTTTGCCTGCTATCTATTCTGTTACACCGTGGTATGTATTTACATCAGATCTAGTGGCTGCTTAGAAAAGTCGTTTGCTATCTACGCGCGCAACTTTCCCTTTCTCTCTGCTATACCCAGTCTGCTCTTCTCGTATGGCATTCTCGTCACGAGACTATGCGCGCTTGGGTACGTGTGGGGCAATTCTGGCATTGGGTCAGGACCGGGGAGTCATTTTTAAAGGCGACTATCTGGTCCTGAGTCAGCCATACATGTACAGTAGCATACCGATCGGGGAGTACTAGTACTGCAGTAAGCATGGAGTCGTAAAACACCGAATGGTATTTTACGACTCCCGGGTACGATACCAGTGCAGTGATTTCACAAATTGTCGGTCCTTTCGGTGTATCTGTTTCTTACCTAAATCGACAATACTAGTAATAGGTGTACAAACACTGCACACATCGCTTCTCTGTACCTAAAATATCTGGTCATAAGGCCAAGTAAAAAAAAAAGCTAGATGATCGTCCCCGTCCGCCCCAGTTTTTGTCAGCGCCCCAAGAAATATTTTATTTTTTAAATCGTGAGTTTTTGCCGAAATCGTTGGTTTTTTACCGATCGCGGATGCAGGAAACATGTGCACGCTTTGTTTAATACTTTCTTTACTATATGGACCACATACTACTACTAGTATATCACAACGTCAGTATCGATCTGCTGAAGAAAGAAAAAGAAAAAAAGAAAAAAAAAGAAAAAAAGAGAAAAAAAACCTTGATGTTGTTGTGTACACTGTGTGCATGAGAGGGTAAAAAGTAAAAAAATAAATTAACCCTCATGCCACACAAGAGAGACGAGCCTGTGGGGTGTCGCAAGCGTTTATTCCAGCATGAATAATCATGAGCCTGTGATCGGTAATCAAGTATGACGTACATGTACTCAGTATGAGGTCATGATTATAAATGATGTACGCATATCACGCATCAGAGAGGCAAGGACAGCAGAAGCGACCCGCGGGGTCGTGCGCCGTCGGAACGGCTACGTGTACTACTAGGTTGCTATGGCAGCGGAACACTAAATCTTAGTACACATGAATAGTTCAATGGTGCCGATGTGCGTGCACTATGCGGCGCCCATCGGCAGCACCCGTGCCTCCTGCCTTTTAAACGGTGCGGGAGGGTGGGAAACAATTTCTGCGGCGGGCAGGCACAACAAACAACTGGTGAATGTCTTTACGTGTTCCTGCCTTGCGAGGGTGGCCTTGGGTGAGCTTGCACCCAAGGCGGATAGGTGGCTTATACGGCATGCCGTACGCGCATCGCGGTTGCGAATGCTTGCGTGGGGCCCCGCGCGGGAGCCCGGCAGTGCGTACGACTTTAGCGGAGCTCGTATGAGACTTAGCCGGTTTTGGCGTGTCTGCGGACGACATCTCCATGCGGGAGATGCGGCTCTGTGACATGTAGGTTAACTACGGTTTGCGCAACGCAAACCAACATAATAAAATCCTCCCGCCCTCCCCGATTTTTCCAAAAAAAAGGACGATCATCTAGTAATTTTTTTTACTCGGCCTAATTCACCCAACCTGAACTTTTCCCCTGATACCCAAAATTTGGCGCACATGGAATTATTTTCTGAAAATATGATTTTGCTGCCTAGTAGTAGTAGTAGTAGAATTTATTATTTTGATAGGGAAGGCCCACTGGTAGGGCATTTTCTGGATGCAGGGAAAGTATATTGATTATACTTGAAGTCAAAAATTTAATAATAATACAGTCGTCCCTCTCTAATCCGGCACTTTATAATCCAGCACCCTCGATAAACCAGCACAATTTTCAGTAGCCAAAATGTACATTGCAGCAGTAAATCAGATTTGTTAATCCAGCACCCTCCCTAATCCAGCAGATTTTCGTGGCACAAATGGTGCCGGATTATAGAGGGACCACTGTAATAATAATAATAATAAGTACGAAGATACACCATCTTTATACTCTCGCCTTGTTACTTTAAGTCATATCAGCATGAAACAGGTTTTTGGTCTCCCTCGCCGTACCCCGACTGTCTTTGTTTTGCGGCACGCTAAGTTATACTCCCTCGAATCTCGTCTCAACTTGAGGCTTTTTATTTTTGTTTTCCGCTGTATTCATCAGCTTACAAGTCCTCTTCTTTCCTCAATGTTCACCCTCCAGTCGGCTGCTACTTGCACCGAGAGGCGCACTAGAGGGCAATCATTCTCTTCACTTTCTTTGCCCGCTGCTACCACTAGATATGGCATGTTCTCCATTTCTTTCCTTGGCGCTGATAGGTGGAATTCTCTGCCTGTCTCGTGTCGTCAGGTTGAGCATCTATCCGTTTTTGTTTCGCTCTGTAAAGAGCACTTAGGGTTCCCTGTAACAAGACGGCAACGTCTGTAGGGCCTTCCCTATCAAAATAATAAATTCTACTACTACTACTACTAAGATCATTGAAGGCCAAGTGCACAGACTACTGGTACCACTGTGTCTGTCACAAGTGTCGGTGCTTACACTGTACATGTAGTGAAGCTCAGTCGAGTCAGTGGCAGTGCTTGTCACACTCGTGCGCCTCGGCGTGGGACGCCCTCGGCCTCGCCTCGGCCTCCGCCTCCGGCCTCCGGAGCGCTGCCATAGCGCGTACTCAGTCGATCCGGACAGCTCGTTCCCGGGGATCCCTAGGCCCTAGCGCATAGCGTGCGCGCGCGATATCCACGCACGAAGTGCGTGGTAGATCTACGAACCAAACGTCAGCTTGCTAGCTCAGATCAGAAGTCAGATCTAGATGCAGAGCATATTTTGCGCAAGCAGCGAGCTAGCGACCAAGACTGCATGTGTCAGCAAAGATTGGGGATCTCACCGTGGAGGGACTGGAGGCTCGCTAGCTTGACTATGTTGACGGCTACAATCCACGAAGGCTTTGTACGAGTCGTAGGTCTACAACGGTAGAGATCTGTACTGTGTGCGCCGCTAGTGTGCAGGGGACAGATTTGTGTGGTCGTGTTTGAGGCTTGTCAAGGGCTCAGCAAAATGACCTTCACACAATCACATTCAGAGCTTCACTTTTTGGACACAGTTTTGTAGCTCGAGTTCTTTGTTGCCAAAAGGGTTTCTGATCGTCGTTGCCATTGTATGTCTGTCCTGGATGCGGAGAGTTCCATTTGTCTAGCTGTCGTGTTCCTCTGTGATGGCGCAACGGGTGAAGAACGGTCAGTGAAATGTTCTCCTATATCTTATTCCTTATCTCCTGAAATTATGTTGGTGTGTTGCAAATTCACGTTTTTATTAATTTTGTATTTTTGGTCGTATTGTTTGCCGATTGACACAGGTGGAAAATCGAAGGGAAAGGATGGTGCCCCGGTACCGCCGGACAGAAAGAAGCATGATGATGAGGTGCTGCAGCTCAACAAACAGATTGAAGACAAGCAGGCCGCGCTGAAGGCTTTTGGCCGCTCGGGCGTCGATCGTGACGCACAAAGGGAGACTTCTGCGCAGCTTGACAAGCTCTACAGAGAGGGCAGCAAAATTCGCTCGCAAAAGGAAGCGTGTGTTGAAAAGCGCCACGGAATTGACACGAAGATTCGGGAAGTAAACAATGTCATCGCCAAGAAGGTACGCTCATTTCCTTGAACTCTGTTGAATTTTTGACAATGTTTTATTTAATTTGAAGTGAATGACTATTACCAGTATGATCGATTGTCGCTGCTGGCTCCAGCTGATCGTGTTTTGTGAAAGTACTCCATAGTCTATTAGATCTACACGTGTAGATGTGGAAGTATGTTGTCTCACAAACAGCGTGTGTGAGTTTAGATCGCACGTAAGATACAATGTTTTTGAGTACTAGTACTGGTGGAGATCTTTAATTTTTTTCAAAAGATGTTTTTCAGCTTGCCAGCGACTGTACCACTTCTGTATACTGCAGTGATAGCACACGATTTAGCGTGAACAATGGTAGCCAGAGCTGTGGTCGTCTTGTTGATGCTCCTCACGCACACTCCGGCCCATCACAGTCACTGCCAGTTTCGAAATTATTTTTTTGGGAAAACTTACAGGCAGACACGAACTATCCCAAAAAATTGTGGAATACATTTACATTGTACTGACTACATGTTGTAAAACCGGTTTAACCTGTTTCCAGAACTACTAGTAATAATATTCTAGAGACTGAATAGCAATACAGTGTAGTTTTGACACTGGGCAGGTTCACACGCTGTGCTTTTAGTGCCGTACTGGCTTTCCTGTAGAACTGGCGGGCGATTCACATTACAGCCCCCCCCCCCCCCCCCCCTCCCCCCCTGTGGCGGAACGTGGTGGTTTGTGTGGAGACACCAGTCAATCCAATCTGCTATGGAACGTGTTCAGAAAGGGAGCACGGGCAGCGTCACGTATGCCAGGGCGGTTGTGACGGCACGAGTCGATGTTCCAGCTGTGCTGTACAGCCCTCTTCGGCGAAGAAAGGAACTGCATCTGTCAACGGTTTCATCACGAAATAGATTGCAGCAGGAAGAATAGCATACGAGAAAACAATATACAGGTTCTGGTGTGAATTGCTTGGGTCCTGACAGTTAGCTAGCCATGTATGCGGGATATTCTGCTTGTGGTGGCAAGGTTAGCACTGTATGATTGATGGCAAGGTTTTTCGTTTTTGGCAGGAATCGGAGGTTTCACCCTCCGATGAGAAGGCAACAATGCCTGTACCTATAATAAAGTACACGCAAAAAAAGAGACTTCAATAGGGCACACACATCCGTTATTTGTCGTGAGATTTGACTTCTGACGTCATCACTTGCAAGCCCTGTAACAACAAGCTGTCTCTTGGTGTATTGTGCTGGCTTCTGCAGTCTGACGAAGGCAACAAGATGTCGGCCACGCTGCGCTACAAGTCGGCGGAGCGTGTGGACGAGGCCATCACGCGCCTAGAGAACCGCAAGCAGAACCGCCAGCTCAGCGCGCAGGAGGAGACCGACCTGCAGACGGAGCTCAAGGAGCTGACGGACTCCAAGCCCATCATAATGTAAGCAAAGCGGTAGAGTCCTGTACAAAAGCCTGTCTCGTATAGAAGCCTATTTTCAATACAAGCCTGATTTTCAAGATACTAGTACAGTTAGACCTCGCTTGACCGCACACATCCGTTTCCCACGAAAGTATCCGGATAGGCGAGGGAACCGGATAATCGAACGCCGGTTTTGTTGGATGCATCACGTATGCTGTACATCTGTAGCCCGCTATTTTCTTCCGGATGGCCAGGGATCCGGATAAAAGAGGACTGGATAAGCGAGGTCTGAGTGTGCACTGTCAGCACATAGGCCTGGTTTAGTATTGGCATACATTATGATACATAGAAATACGTGGTTCGAAGAGAGGCCTGACTTGAATAGAGGCCTATCACTGGCATTGGCTTCTACAGGAATAAGCACGGCTTTTATACGCGACATTACGGTACAGTCAACTTCGCTAATAACGACTGCGGATATAACGACAATTCGCGAATAACGACAGAATTTCCATGCCCAGAGCAAAGCCCTATCCAACTGTAATACATACAATGACACTTCGGGTATAACGACACTTCGCGAAAAAGGACACCTTTTTGATGCCCCGCCGAGTGACGTTATAAGCGAAGTTGACTGTACTCGTGTAAGACCGTTGCTGAGCAGTCTGGTGAGCAATAGAGGGTATTTGAATGATATCGGCGTGTGTGGGCTGGTTCACAAGGATGCGACAATCAACCCTCCACCTTGAATAATTATATGTGTGTGTATGTGTGTGAGTTGTTCCGCTCATTGATATACTGATCATTTGTTTCACTCTATAATCTTCTATTCTACTTAGTGCCTACAACCAATGCCGCAAGGACATCGAAGCTGAACGAGAGCGTCACACGGAACTGCGGCAGGAGCGTGATGTAAGCTTGTGCATTCTCTGCGGCTCGTTCCCGGCGTTGCGCGTCCGCAGCTGGTAGCTGCATGTTTGTGTGTGTGTGTGTACATGTGTGTGTATGCGTGTGCGTACGTGTGTGTGTGTGTGTACATGTGTGTGTATGCGTGTGCGTACGTGTGTGTGTGTGTGTACGTGCGTGAGTGTGTGCATTCGTGTGTTCACATGTTGGTTTGTTTGGACAAAGGCTTCACTATCAACTTTGTTACAAGTACAACTGCCGGCCAACTCCTGTCCCCTGCTTGCTACAGTCATATCGCGTTTATTCTATTGGTTCACGGTCCACATGGGCTGAAAATGCCTTTTTTATTTTAACCCTTTACCAGCCGTACATAGTGCGAATGCGTCGAATTCGACGCATTCGTTTTTCGCTCTGTAAACCATGGTCTTTTGCCGCACCGCGGTCGGAATAATCGCAAACTACTGCTGAAAACCTACGGAATCACCTACCATCAAGAAAACCGTGTGCTGCACATCATTTTTTTCGAGAAAATCACGGTTGAATGCACCTGGGTGAAGTTGAAATTTCAAGCGTGTGACTTTGACACATTTCATGCTAAACGAGCATAGAGCACTGTACAAACAGCTATAACGTCGGTCTGCCTACTTCAAATTCAACATATGACGGCTCATTGGAAAGCTAATGAACGCAGCTTTCCAACGATGTATCATTCGATATAGCGCGAAGTAAAATACTCAAGCGCAGAAGCTTGAAGTCCTGCAAACGGGTGGAGTTGAAATTTCAAGCGTGTGGCTGTGACGCACTTCATGCTGACGTATGTGTTTGCGATTTCCGCAGTGCACAGCCCATGCGTGACATGCACCAAAGGTCCAAAAATGAGCACTAGAACAGCCTGGTTCTGCTGGTGTTTGAATCTTGATAGATGTACTGGTGCATGAGCTGAAGCTGAACGGTGTACATAATTATTGTCATGGTCCTCGAATTTGCTAATTCGGCCGCATTGCTTGAGTTATTGTTCGCCATGAATGGCAACGATTCTACATGTTGTCAGCTTGGTTTTAGTCTCATATGAAAGGTAATTCTACCAGCTTTCCAGAACTATAAAGGTGTCGATACAAATTATTTACCGTTTAGTCTCTATTCTCAATCTAGTGGACCCCGTTTTTTACATATAAATCCTGCGGCTGGTAAAGGGTTAACTTCCCTCTGTGTGAATCAATGAGCATTCTTTGTCCTTGGTTGACTGATGCTTTGATGCACGGGAGGTAACGCACAAGTTTAAAAAAATAACATTGCTGTGTGTTGGCCTTGGTGTGCAATTGTGTGTTGGTGTCCTTTCAGGCCATGACTGAGGAGCTGTCTAAGCTACGATCGAGCGAGGACGAAACGCATGCGGACATCGACAAGCTCCGTAGCAGAATCGACGAGGAGAAGCGCGAGCGCAAGTCACAGAACGAGGACCGTGACAGCTTGCAGCGGGGTGCGTTGAAACTGTATTGTTCCACTCTGCTGCTGCTGTGTGTGTTGGTGTGTGTTGGTGTGTGTGTGTGTGTGTGTGTGTGTGTGTGTGCTTACCTGTTTGCACATGCATGTGTGCTCCATGTTTCATTTGATTCCGAATAGAGCTGTTAACTGTCTATGGCTGCGATTGACACATGATCACACAGGGCAGACAGCCATGTGTTGCTTCCAACTCCACTCAACCCCTTGCAGCGTTGGGTCACATAGTACCAACCATGTTAGGCCGAGTAAAAAAAATTACTAGATGATCGTCCTTTTTTTTTGGAAAAATCGGGGAGGGCGGGAGGATTTTATTTTTATTTTTTTACTTTTTACCCTCTCATGCACACAGTGTACACAACAACATCAAGGTTTTTTTCTCTTTTTTTCTTTTTTTTTCTTTTTTTCTTTTTCTTTCTTCAGCAGATCGATACTGACGTTGTGATATACTAGTAGTATGTGGTCCATATAGTAAAGAAAGTATTAAACAAAGAGCAGTTGCAGTAGAGACAGTGTAGATGATGCACACACTTGGCTCAACATTCACCTATTCAAGTTCAACGTAAGTCTCTTGTACTACTACGTAGTAGGCATTGCTAGACTATCCCAGGCAAAAGTACCGAGTGTCACGGAATTATTTCTTAGCACCTGGAGTGCAGGAGCGTGTGCGCTTCTTAGTACCACACTTTCCTGCCTCCTTGCACACAATGCACAGAGGGTACGCATCGTCTGCTGTTTCCAGATCATTGTTCAGTCCACAGTGGAAGCAGACGGATGCATATCCGGCAGAGAAGTATGGTACTTCAACAGGACTCTCACAGGTAAGATTCCGCTTCATGTGGATCGACGCAAGAATGCTGCCTTCGTCACACTGTATGTCACTGAAGTTGCTGCCGCAAGTGTACACAAATGTCTCCAAAGCTGCTTGCAACTCCACGCGTCCGGCTGATTTCAGGCTTTGCTTGGCATACATCAGACGAGGTTTGGCACACTCAGAGCACTTGAGCACATCTTTCACATTCTTTACATATTGCGCACTAGGTGCAAATGGCATGCCATGACCAGCAGATCCTGTTTGTCCAGATGCTGTGAGCGAGGGCCGATGTGCTTCCGAGGTTGGAGTTGCATACACGGACTCAAACGGCTTGTACTTGTCACCATCAGGCATAGGGTCTGGAATGTGGTGTAAGTCTGCGAAGACGGCATCTGGTAACCTTGGCGGCTTACACACAGAGCATGAGGCTTTCCCACATTTCTTAACACTGAAGAAATAGTGGTGAGCAACACAGTGATCCGCCATGAAGGTTTGCAGCTTCTCATTTTTGCTGGCCTGCTGCTTCGAGGTGTTGGTCACGTCCAATGTGGGATCGATTCGGTGAACAACGTTTCTGAACGTATCTACATCCACTTTTGCAGCAGCGTCAAAAGATTGAAAAGACTCGTCCTTCAGCCTGAGGCGATGGAATAGCGAGCACAGCAGCACCTTCATGTCTTCCATTGAATCAATAACAGCACTTTCAAGTTCTGGCAGCTTCACAGCAAGGTTGCGGACATCCTTCATACTGTTGCATGACTTCAGCTGTTTCTCATATTCTGTCTCGTTGCGAACTATACCAACCCCCTGCAGGGCGATGTTGAGGATGGACATGATCCGCTCAACAGGGTTTTTCCAGCTGTTGTAAGGGGGAGTACGGACGGCACACAGATAGTCCAAGTCAAGTTCCACGAACAAGGACATGAGAGATAGCTGTGTTGATATGTACGTGGGACGATGATCTGGTCCACCATCTGTGTACAGGCATAGGATTGGTTTTGCGTCCTTTGACTTCAGTATAGTTGACAGTTCACAGGCATGGCGGGATGGCGAAGAGTGCTGGAAGACACAGTCTTTCAATCCAACATGAACTATGCCCTGGTAGAAGCTGTCGTCAATGCTCTCCGGTACGTCTATGAACAGATTTACACTTGGCGTCAAGTTAAACTTGGTGAAGTCATGGTCCGATACAACAAGTTTTTCATGTAGACCCACGAGCACAGGCTTGCCTCGATCCACCGCTGCCACTGGATGTCCTGGTTCACCGACTTTTATAGTATGCTTGTCATCCTGACAGACAAAGGTTGCATGGTCTCTGAAGCGAATAGCGAACTCTCGTTCATACCGGTAGAGGGCACTTGCATAGTGGCAGTCAATATGACTGGTACGAAACTGTCGTGACTGGACCATGAACTTTACCTTGAGCTTTCCCGTGTACCGATGAGCAGCAGCTGTGGCCGGATTCCTGGGCCAAAACTGGTACCTGAGCCACTGCACAGATGGAATAGGAGTGTCTGGAGGACAGCGCTTGGAGACTTGCTCGTGCAAATCCCTGACACTCAGCGCCTTGGCGAGGTGAGTAATAACCGTTCCATCGCTCTCGACAGCATCATGTCGGCGATCATCCACAGCCGTCTCAATCGACCCCTCAATGTACTGCTGACACTGTTCAAGAAATGTTTCGAAGGATTCCGGCCTGCCACTGTTCACAACTCGAAGATCCCATATGAGATCTGGGTCCTCAGTTTCGAAAAGCTCGGCAATACGCTTGTCGACAGCTGCCTGGTCAGTGGTGATGCTGGCACTTGTGTCGCCCGTAAGACGGCGATAGGCTTCCCTCAAGAAGGCGGGCTTGGTGTTAGTAAGGGAGCCAAACAGCTGAATGAACTCCCGGCGCATGATCCGAGTGTGGAATTTTGGTATCAGCGCCTTCACCTCCTGCTGAATGCGAACATTCCGTTGAAGCAGCTCAGAATCGTCGACGTCCTCCGGGATCCGCCATACAAAGTGGACATGCGTCTTGCCGCCAGTGTAAGAATACAGGACACACTTGACAGGCATGACCAAACCCTCCAGATACTCATGTTTCCTGCGGTGGTCAGCTGGGCAATGGTCTTCAATCATTACGTAGTCGTAGTCTGCTGCAGCTTGGATCGCAGCATGCAAGCTACGGTACCTAGCAGCTGCGGTGGGCTTCAGCACAAGAGTGGCACGCACGACCTTGAGCTCGTCAACATCGGTTCTGACGCACGATCTCTTGGCCTCACTTGCCGTAACTGCAGTGGCATGGTCATTGAGATAGGCAGAATACTTCCTGAAATTATCTGCCATTTTCAGGACGGCCTCTCTGACGGATTTCCAACTTTGGTGCTTCATGTAGGAGCAGCCAGCAAGGAAAAACAAGGATGCAGAAAGGGATTCCAGGTCACATCGCAAGATGTTGGTGTGGTCTCTCTTCCTCTTCTTCCTGTCCTCCGGTTTGTTGTAGCCAGTGAAGTGGCTGAACATTGCCGGCACTGCACACCCTCTGCTGGCTAACGTGTGGTGGTTGCCGTCTACATACCATAGTGCATCAGCCAGTGTGCCCACAAAGTTGATGCCAGATGACTCAGCATGAGCATGATCCCAGCCAAGGCTGTTTTTGCTCAGGAAATCGATGAGGTCATTCTTCAGTACGACTTTCTTGCTTGTCACAGGCGTCCATTTTGGTGGCAGGGACGATGTGGCGTTTACTGAGGCCATCATGAGGGCAAAGGCATTGCGTCCTGCACTGGCGTTGTCCGTGGTCGACTTGTCACTATTCCTGTCATGTCCAGTTACAGCGAAGTCGACGTAGTGACCCAGCGCACTGACGGTGTCGCCCACTGGCGCTTCTGGACTGACATTGATCTTACTGCCGTCCTTGGAATTTCCCACACTTGCTTGAACGCACGACATGACGGCTTCATCCTCCAACGCCTTCCCATTGTCAAGCGACCCATCACTGAATCCTCGGAACGCATCAGCAACTGTTGCATCGGCAGGAACGACGCAGCCATACCACGACTTCAACACTTTCGTTGCAGCACGAATTTGCAAGAGAACGAAGGGCATCGCAACGACAGCACCAGATGATTCGAAACAGAGGACAACAACTCACTCTACAGATCTGCGTCAAGCTGGAACACAGTCAAGAACTTCGACATCGCGAAGCAACTACCAACAATTTACTTTTGACAAAGTAAGTTCGTCACGGAAAACGCGTGCACATGTTTCCTGCATCCGCGATCGGTAAAAAACCAACGATTTCGGCAAAAACTCACGATTTAAAAAATAAAATATTTCTTGGGGCGCTGACAAAAACTGGGGCGGACGGGGACGATCATCTAGCTTTTTTTTTTACTTGGCCTTAGCTCCTCTGTCCATATGCCATGATCACTTTCTGCACGAATTTAGTTTATACATGACAAATATATGTAACCGCTCACTACCCTCCGGGAATGCCATTTTAACACAGTTGTCCTGTTGTGCTGCAGACCTGGATCAGCTCTACTCGCAGAAGCGCGACAAGTTGACCGCATTCCGAACGGCGCAGAATGACTTCCACATTCACGAGCTGGATGCGCGCGATGCAGCCGCCGCTAAGCGTGACGAGGAGAGACGCAAGGCCAGGCAAGAGAGAGCCCTGGACAAGGAAGGCAGGCAGCGCGAACGGTAGGTTTGTAACTACGTGATTACGCTTGTGTGTGTTGGGGGGGGGGGGGGGGGGGTATGTGGGTGTGACTTTCTGTGTGTAAGTATTAAGTAGTGAAGTTGATTGAACATAAGTCCTCAGCTGGAGGCAGGTCACTCCGAATCACGAAATCTGGGACTTTTTGCTCCTCGAGAAACTACTGACTATCTTTGCTCGTGACTTCTACTCTGCTGACTATTTGAGATGGGTTTTTTTGTTGTTCACCTGTTTGCCTCTGGTGCATGGGTGCGCGCTTCACAGGCTGGAATCTGAGGCAGCGAACGACCCGAACATCGTGCACCGTCAGACGTGCGCCTCGCTCATCAACTACCTCTCTCGCATGGCCGTCGTCTCCGAGGCCAACGGCACGGCGAGCTCGGGCTCTTCGGCCGCCGCTGCCCCCGACCTGGATTCGCTGACGTCGGTGCGAGGTGGTGGTGAGGCCAAGCCCGGAATGTTCTTGTCACGCAAGACACGTGAGGACGACTACTCTGGTGCCGACAGCCTGTTTGCCGGGAAGGGCAAGAAAGGAAAGAAGGGAAGGAAGGGCGGTGCGGCCGCAGCAGCTGGCAAGGTAAGGCGCTCTGTGTGTGTTTGTGTGTCTGTCTGTCTCTCTCTCTGTCTCTGTTGTGTATCTCTTTGTCATGGGCAGATGTGAAATGCGCTGGGATCCAGTCTCAAGGTGTGTGTGTGTGGGGGGGGGGGGGGGGGGGGGGGGGAGTGCGGATTTCATGACTCAGCTCATTCACGAATTGCTGAGTGTAATTGTGTGAATGACATCATTATGGATGTTTTGGATGGAGTCGGTTTGGTGAATGATATCGTATGTTTTTTTAGTATGGAGTGAGTTTTGGGAATGATTAATAGTGACATTGCCGTGTCTCCCCTATACTGTACTACGACTTTACTGCTCGCCCGTTCTCCCACATATGGACATGTAGATTGGCCCACCTTCCGTACGGCTGAAACGTGTACACGCTACATTTACGACATGTAGATTGGCCCACCTTCCGTACGGCTGAAGCGTGTAAACGCTACATTTATATCTGTCTGTAAATTCTTTCACTGAGTTCACGCTTCTTTACTTTCCCTCTTTGCTCCTGATCGCTTGCAGGCTAGTGCACGTGCCATCAAACATAATACCGTGGTGCTCCAGCAGTTCCTCTCCGTCGGCGTTAGTGCCCCTCCGTCGGCCTCGGCCGTTCCTGCCGCAGTGGAGGAGCTGAGACAGAAAGAGGTGAGTTGTCCGCATGGACAAAAGACCTTGCTTCGTCTTTTCTCTTCTGAGTGTCAGCTGTGCAACACGTACTGCAGTTTTTGCCTGGAGGTCGAGATATACACGAGACATTTGCCTCTCTCTATCTATCTATAATCTCCTGCTTGTTAAATCATGCACCTGCTTTCAGGCTGAAACCCCTGTTGTTGAGGTCTCAGTCCTCAATTGTTAGACTTACCTGTATTTTTACTCTCTCTCTCTCTCTCTCCCTCTCCCTGTCTTTCAATTCGCATCTGATTTATTGGCCTGTGTTTGCTGTGTGTTTCTCGTAGGCTCAGTACACACGAAGCCTCATCGAGAAGCACGGCAAGAACGCTGGTATCGAGGTGGACCTCGACTCCCTACCGCCCACCGCCGCCGCCACCGCTGTCTTGACAAACGGCGTGGACGGCGCAGCGACCAGCAACGGCACAGCTGACGCACCAACAGCCGCCGGCAACGCTCTGAGCAATGGCGACGTGGCTGTGAGTGCAGCCGCCGCCGACGAATCATGATTGCACACGGGGCGAGGGAGAGAGAGAGGGGGACTGCTTGCCTCTCGGGAGAACGCTATTGCCGTCGCCCCGCGCACGCTGTATGACGTGACAACGCGGTCGCATTGGACTGCCGCCACTGCTGCTGCTGCTTCTCTCGTTCTGCCCGATGCCGATGGCCTGCCGGTCGTTCCCTCTTCTTCTATTCTCCTCGCCTCTCTGCACGCTGTGGACGGAAAGACAGCACGACGGTGACGGCAGCTGGCTCGTAGTATTCACCGCTTTCTCGCCGGTGGTCTGAGATAGCAATGCAGCTTCCGCGGGCGTGCTGCTGCTGCCCGCGGTTATGAGGCGTGCTGGGCAGCACCGTGTCCTGCGGAGTCTCGGACACGCTCACACGTACACGTGTAGTTTGGAATCTTGTCGCTGCCCGTCGATAAGAGAGACTCCTGAGCACTTCTTTGCCACCGAACGAAAACGAAATTTAAAAAAAAAAACTGTCAATCGACCGAAAAATTCCGATCGGAACCAGTAAGCGTTCTGTTGCTTTCCAAGCCTAGACATAGTGGGGCACCGCTGATGATTGTGGAAATTTTGTCATTAGTTTATTTGTAGAGATTTATCTTGGTTGGGCTCGCCACGCCGCCATTAGAGTAAGCTGAATGGAGTTATAGTTGCAGCTGCTCATAGCACACCGTGGTGGTTAGTTGCGTGTTGCACCCAGCCACTGTGGTGGTGTGGGGCCTTGCGCCGACATTCTGCACCAGACTGTTTATTTCGTCGTCGTCAAGGTCTTCGCCATTTGGCGTACCCACCCCCACCCCCTGCCCCCATTCAAGACCAACGATGCTGCGAGATTTCGCCGGTGACAGGTTTGTGGTTCGTGTCTGTTGCCCCTGCCTGCCATATCATTGTGTTGTCACGTTTGTGGGGCTGCCCCTCACTCGCACACCTATGCTTTTGGCGCTGCTCCTTCATCCGTGCTGGCCGCGCGCTAATGCCTTCCGTTGATGCCTTCCCTGACTAATTTGCCTTTACTGGTGGCCATTTGCTCTGTTGTGCGTGTAGCGCGTAATGGGAACACGCCAGGCACAATTTCTTTCTTTTCTTGTTTTCACCCCCCCCCCCCACACACACACACACCCGCCATGCTTTCAATGAATGCTTTGCTCACCGGCCATGCTTTTTTGCTCCGTCAAACGGACTGTGAGCGGCAGCAGCAGGACGCTCCTGGGCCCGCTTTTGCACGTACTCCCGGTTTTCATGTGGAAAGCACCGTCGACCCTTTCCGCCGCGCCCCGATCCCCCTCTCGTTTCTCCCTCTTTTTTTGTACCAAGCTAAATACTCGTAACCTGAGATTGATATCTGCTCTCGTTTCTTATCTATTTTATATATACTTTCTGTGGTGTTGTATGCATTGCAACATTGGTGTCTTGGCTGGCCTTGTTATTGTGCGTAGACAGGGTCTGTATCCAGTGCGAGCGTAAACAGCACGGACGGCTGTAGTTCGTCCTCTTTTTTCGTTGATGTCATTTTGCAGTGCAGAAGTTGGTGATTGCTGGCGAGAGTGCTTGCTGCTACGGTTTTGCGAAGATCCCGCTGAAGTCCGGAGCTTGCGCCTCGCCCATCGATCTCTGCATTTGAGGATGCGCACGCCAGTGCATGTGCTTGTGTGTGTGTGTGTGTGTCCATGCATATTCCTGGGTTTGTTTTCATGTTGGTGGCAAGTGAAGCTTGGCACAGACCTGTTGGGAATTGGTGGTCGGCAGCATCAGGGAGTAGCAGTGCAGTACAGAATTGTACTGCTCACTGGTCGGCATCAGCGGGCGGCGAATGTGATCACCTGCACACCCAAGGCCGGGTCCTCGCTTTTGTCGGGCTGGTCTGGGAGTCTTCAATGTTCGACCCAGTTGCACTGCTCTGGTGTTACAGAGGTGTTCTGTTCAATTTCCGCTCCTTGGTCATTCTTTTACAACACTCGCACCAAGAGTTCATAACCCCTGGGGTTATGAACTCTTGCTCGCACTCGTCTCGCATCTCCTGTAGCTACTGTACTGACGATTTTGTGTAGCCAAAAAGTACGATTTTCAAGAGACCAGCCCCGTGAAAATCGCAAAAGATCGAGGGCGCGGCGAGGAAAGTCAAAGACAAATCGCTGAGCACAGGAATGTGTACATGTACACGGACGAAATCATCGAATTTGCAGGAAAAGCGCACCGAAATAACCGAACAATCGCGTAGACTGCTGATCTGGACAGTGCAACTGCGAGGATAAATCGGGAGCCACACACAAGGGGAAAATTCAAATAATCAAAAATTTGTTTGGCTCTGAGGAAGGTGGAAGAAACGTCCGTGTTGTTACTGGAGGAGCTTCGCCAGCTAGCTAGCCGGGTTGCATGGTTGCACTGAAAGTGAAAGCCACGCTCCAGGTGTCCGAGTTTGATGGTGAGCATGAGCAGCAAGGCATAAAGATAAAGGTCGTTTGTGAGTCGACAGCGAAGTAAGTTTGACCTTCTGACCCTGTAGTACGTCCTGACAAGCGAAATCTTCCCTTTTTGGCTCGCATTTCGTTGGATTGTACATTGAATGCTGGCGTATATGGTGGTGGACTAGTCAAGAAGGGGAACCTGGTGGAGCGAAGTGGATCAGTATTGTTGCAAACATGGTAAGTGTGAGTGTTCTATACGATGTACGGATCAGGATGGCCTGGCTGTATGGGGACGGTGTCGTCCTGTCGCGAAATTCCAAAGTTTCTCGTGCCGAATTTTGAAGCATTGTGCCAAATTTGGATCATGGCGAGCTCGCGAGGAGCCTGTATGGGTTCGCACTTGTGCACCCTACGTAGATGGAGATCTGGAAAGTACCCATACTGTAGATGTACGATTGCAGAGTTGAACTCAACAGCTTGCAAGATCGAATAGTATAGCAGAGAGCACACTGAGTGCGTTCGATTACACACTTGAATCGATTCATGAATCCATTCGCATGCATTCAAGTCGTTCGATTTCATGTCATGAGCCCTGGAATCGATTCAGAATCCATTCCCTCTATTCACATGGGGTGATGTGAATAGCGCGAATCGATTCATGAATCGATTCGCGCGTGTAATCGAACGCACTCACTGCAAGCCCATCGCTCCGGGCCTGTGACTCGAGCCGTTCAGTTTTCAGCCGCGAGTTCATACCTGTGTGCCGAGTAGTACACTTCGAATCTCTGTTTCGGTCATGTAGAGTTGCAAGCACACACGGACACAGTAACCAGAGGGCACATACGAAGTCCGCGAGCACACCAAGCAGCATGCAGATCGTCACAGCATTACTAAGTGACTGTGTGCATTCACATTAATTTTATTAGGATCTTGAGTCACTGCCTTTTTTGATTACATAGCCAAACCATAACAAGCGCTGTTCGAACGTTCCCTGCATGTTCTGGTGATAGGCAATTACTTGGACAGCTTGTATAAGTTTTTATTCGATATTTTTTTGGGGATAGACTACGCCAAGAATGGATCGTAGTTTGCGGCTGTAGTGGTTCTACAAACGCACCAAAGACATCTTGTAACTAGCTTCGTTACTACAAATCACAAGTGTGTGGGAATCCAGAGAACGACAGAGAGGTCAAAGGAAAAGCCAGGCAGGCAAGTACAGCTAAAGTGCGTACGGTACAACTGGCATGTCGCACAGCGCGGCCGGATGAATGCATACATGTTACATAAAAGGATACAATGACAAACAGTGGGATGTGCATCCACTACATCTCCCCTCTGAGATTAAACAGGCTATAATAGAGAAGATGAGGAGTCCAAAGACTATTCGATAATGTAGGTATTGTTTGTAGAGCAAGTTGCAGTGAAAGAGTGATGTGCAGAGACGACGGCAGATACGTCTCGGCACGTTGCTGAATTAGCATGATTCAATGAGGCGGTTGACAGGCTGAGGGGCTCTAGCAGAGCGACGGACTGGATCAGCTGCTGTGCCACCGTACTCAACCTCGACTGTCGGCTTCTCTGCTTCTAGCAGTGGCAGTCGGATCAAGTGACGACGATTGCGGCGAACAGTAGAGTGACCAGACTCAACGAGGTAAGAACGATTGGACACTTGCTCTACTATCTTGCCCTCCCGTTCGAGATCGGTGATGAATACACGGTCATGAAGCTGTAGAGTCGCGAGAGGCTTAGCTGCATGCCGTTGGTCGTAGTGCAACTTCTGCTGTTCCTGGGACTGAGTTTCCGATTCCAGAATACTAGGGAGATCAGGCCATTTCGGTTCCAGCTGTTCAGTCGTTGCAGGTAGACCGGTACGGAGCTGGCGGCCATACAACAGCTGACATGGGGCATAGCCGTTGCTCAGCGGTGTCGTGCGGTAAGCCAAGAGTGCATCTTGCAGGCTTTCGGCCTTCCGCAGGAGATTCTTGGCGGTGCGAACTGCACGTTCCGCTTCGCCATTCGACTGAGGATACCGTGGACTGGAAGTGCGATGGGTGATGTCGTTTGCTGTGCAGAACTCAGTAAACGCTTCGCTGGCAAACTGAGGACCGTTATCTGTAACCAAGGTGGACGGGAAACCATGCTCGGCACAGATGCGGTGCAGATGCTTGATGACAGCAATCGAGGTTGTGGCAGTCAGCGGTACGACATCGAGGTAACGCGAGAGATAGTCAACAATGACGAGGTAAGTCGTGCCGTTGAATTCCATCAGATCTGCACCAACCGTGTGCCACGGCAGTGTTGGGCGTTGGACGGGTTGCAGTGGTTCGGTCGACTGGACGCGGTGTTTGGTGCACACTTCACACGTAGCGACCATCGTGTCGATTTGCCTTGACAAGCCTGGCCACCAAATGGAATGGCGGGCGCGAGACTTGCACTTCGTTGCACCTTGATGTCCCTCGTGGAGCTTCTCGAGCATCTCAGGCTGCAGAGAGGGTGGCATGACAATGCGGAAGCCATGGTACAGCACACCTTGCTCACAGGACAGTAACTGGCGTTCATGGAAGTATGGGCGCACAGTGTCGTCGACATCACGTGGGTTGCACGGCCATCCGTGTTGGACGAAGTGGAGGACTTGCTTGAGCGTCTCATCTTGTGTGGTGGCGTCAGCAATGTCACGGGCTTTACCATCCGACACGATCTCGCCGATGTAAGATGCGAGGTTGATGCTGATCTCGTCTTGGAGACTAGGCGTGTCGTCACAGGCGAGCGGAGCGCGAGACAGAGCATCGGCAACAACTAGCTCTTTGCCAGGGACATACACGGCGGCTGGATTGTACGTGAGCAGGCGCATCAGGAGGCGTTGACATCGCATCGGGACACGGTTCAAATCACGCGTATTGATCAGCGGGATGAGTGGTTTGTGATCCGTCTGGACAGTGAGGGACGAGTTGCCGTAAATGTAGCCGTGGAATCGCTCACAAGCCCAGACAACAGCCAAGCACTCCTTCTCGATCTGCGCGTACTGTTGCTCAGTAGTGGTGAGGCTGCGTGAGGCAAATGCAATGGGGCGCATTCCGTCGTCATGCTCCTGCAATAGGACAGCTCCCAAGCCGTAACTGCTGGCATCAGCGCTGATGACCGTGGGCTTGGTTGGGTCGAAGAACGTGAGGCAGGGCGCATTGGTGGCAAGCTGTTTGAGCTTGTCCAGGGCCTGTTGTTGTGTAGCAGACCACTCCCATGCGGTGTCATGCCCCAGTAGAAGACGCAGTGGAGCGCTGACTTCCGAGAGATTGGGAATGAAGCGTGACATGAACGCGAACATGCCGAGAATGCGCTTCAGTTCCGTGACGTTCTTGGGCGGCTTCAGATTAGCGACGCTGGACACTCTCGCTGGGTCAGGGTGGAGACCTTTGGCGGAGAAGATGTGACCAAGGAACTTCACTTCGGCCTGACGCTTGTGACATTTCGTCATGTTCAGCGTGACGTTGGCTTTCTGCAGGATGTCTAGTACGGCAGCTAGGTTACGGTCGTGTTCTTCTCGCGTACGGCCAGAGACAATGATATCGTCCATGTAGACGAACACGCCGGGGAGCTGGTCCAGAAGGTTGGTGAGACGCTTCTGGAAAATCTCAGGTGCTGATGTGATGCCGAATGGCAGTCGCTTGAAGTAGAACCTGCCGAACGGCGTGATGAAGGTGGTCAAACGGGCAGAGTCGGGACTGAGTGGGACTTGCCAGAATCCGTTAGCAGTGTCCAATGTCGTGAACACAGTCGCTCCGGCCAGTGAAGACAGGGCATCTTCTAACGTTGGCAGCTGAAATGTCTCCCGCTTGACAGACGCATTAAGACGCTTCAGGTCGACACAGATGCGTACCTTGCCGTTAGGTTTGAGGACGGGCACCATAGGCGAACACCAGTCTGTGGGTTCGTCGACACGCGCAATGATGTCGCCATCTTCCATGCGGTGCAGTTCTTCACGTACTTTCGAATACAGGTGATGAGGAACTCTGCGAGCTGTGAGGCAGTGATACGGTGTGGCGTCGGAAGTCAAGTGAATCTGCGCAGCACTTATGCCATCTTCCATGCGGTGCAGTTCTTCACGTACTTTCGAATACAGGTGATGAGGAACTCTGCGAGCTGTGAGGCAGTGATACGGTGTGGCGTCGGAAGTCAAGTGAATCTGCGCAGCACTTATGTAGGCGTGGGTTCGAATCCCACTTCTGACACCATGTAGTGGTTCTACAAACGCACCAAAGACATCTTGTAACTAGCTTCGTTACTACAAATCACAAGTGTGTGGGAATCCAGAGAACGACAGAGAGGTCAAAGGAAAAGCCAGGCAGGCAAGTACAGCTAAAGTGCGTACGGTACAACTGGCATGTCGCACAGCGCGGCCGGATGAATGCATACATGTTACATAAAAGGATACAATGACAAACAGTGGGATGTGCATCCACTACAGCGGCGATGCCACGTGTTGAGCCTGTTGCCGAGTGCTGCTGTCAAGGTCCACAGACCACAGTTGTATAATAGAACTGGAACTAACTTGGAAGGATAAGTGTGGTACACATAAGCATTCTAGATAATAAAGTGTGTCTCTTCCAGGCTATGGTGCCAAACGCGCTGTTAGCGGCATTGATACGGTTCTCGATGTCACTTCCAGATCCCAAGAGACTTACGAGTAGTTTCGTCTTTCTCCATGCGGCATTATCCTTGGAAGGAGTTACAAATTGAGTTCTTGTTACTGTAAGACATGTAATAATAACGAGGAAGTAAATCTAACGTTTTAACGGGTGCCATTTTTTCTTATAATAAGTTCTGTTGAGGCTCTAAAGCCTCATACCGTATTATCTCTAATATAAGCACAGTCTCCAATAATAGCACGTCTCCAATAATAGAACACCTTGGTGCGGCATTCAAAAAATAAAGTGCTCAGTCTCCATTAGAAGCACACTGTGTAAATTCATTGTCTGTACCGGCGAAAAAACCCTGAAATGTGTGTGTCTGACATGAATTTGGCCATGGCAACATGCTTATGAAATGAGGTTGAAATAATAATGGAACAGTCTCCAATAAAGGAACGTCTCCATTAATAGCACGGGGGGGGGGGGGGGAGGTACATTGAAAAAATAAAGGACCGTGCTTATATTAGAGATAATACGGTATGTGTTATGTGCAGATATGCCTGAAGACCGCAAGATCGTTAACGTATCTTCTCGTCAATCTATGACTTTTGGACAATCGTTAAATTTGCGACTCGTTATAATAACATGTCTTACAGTAGGTTTAATCTCAGGTCATCCTGGGCGAAAGTTGGCTCACATTTCGCTGCAGCGGCCACCACAGCAAAACGATCAGTGTCATGTATTGTGTGGTGTCATCTGCATACTGTGAGAAATGAGTAGGCAGGCATGAAGGGCAGGTGCAGGCTGCTCTCACCTGCCTCATCGCACCTTCAGCGTAGACAATGAACATGGCAGGAGACATCGGGTCTCCCTGAACCACGCCGATATTGGTCGAGAAGTCCGGAAATTCTGCTGCACTAGGGTGCTGGATTAACAAAATAAAATCTGATTTACTGCTGCAATCATGGTGCATGATGACATTCTGGCTACTGAAAACTATTCTGTTTATAGAGGGTGCTAGTGTATAAAGTGCTGGATTAAAGAGGGACGGCTGTAATCAGAAGGCCCAGGGGCACCAGCAAGTAGGCATATGCGGATAATGCCGGCAGAAAAATTGGCAGAATTCGGTACTTTTTCTGGTACTTCGAAGTAAGTTTCATGCATGTTTGGTATGTGGATAAAGAAAGAAATGGCGCAGAATTCGAGGAATTGCCCGCCATAAGGTTTGTATGGTTCTGCCAATTTCACTGCTTTTCGAGCAGAATCTGCCACCTTTTCGAGCATTATCCGCCAATGTCTACCAGCAAGCAACATTTCACATTCCAAATCTGACTAGAACCGTGTCAAAACTGGAACCCAAATGTGGATTTAGATACACACCGCACACAAAATGAATCCGTTTTTGGCCATTACTAGTATCCGATGAAATGGATTTAGCGGGTTTTCCATTCCAGCCCTTCACATTTGGAATTCGATT